ATCTTAAGTCATTAGGTTGTAGGTGGACTATTCTCCCTTACTTTGGTCTACGGCTTAGTATGTGGCGTCATAGACTATCCATATTTGCTTGGACGTATCCATTTCGCTTTGCCACAGAGATGTTTAAGACATAACGTCCGTTTCTCTTTGGAGATGGTAAGAACTCATTATGCTTCGAATGCTTCTATACTCACAGCTCTAAAGGAATTAAGCCCGTTTCAAATCAATACTGAATTAATTAAATTACTTAGCTTGTACTTCTTATTTATATTTTGTTGTGATCTGTAGGAAATGGAATACTTTATGGATTAAATAAAAAATAAATAATAAATAAATCCGAAAACAGTTTTTAAAAATTCCAAATGGCGGATAGATTTAAAAACAAATTTCAGATTTTTAGGAAATTTGATATCCAAATGTTCTTTGAATCACTGATTACAAAACTGAAATTGGTTTTCAAAAAAGGCGGATGCATAATGGCGAATGGATTTTTAGAAAATTTGCATTGCATGTAACATACATATGTTCCTACGTATGTATGTTTATCTACTAGAGATCTCATTCTGATAGATTATTACGACAATGTACAGGCAACCCACCAACGGAGCCACAGTTCAAGCACCAACTGCTCGTATTGCATATAAATAGATTTAGCTACTTCGAAAGAACAGCATTAGCCTGGTCTAACTAACGTTTGGCTTCTGTAGCAGGTTAAACTAATAATTATTTGTTTTATTTTGAAAAGAATTTCCGTCATCCATTGTCCCGTTTGATTTTTAGACTTCCTAATTATCAGAGCCGAAGAAAATAAGTACGAGAAAATCCATTTTAAGCGCTTAGCTAAGCACTAAAGCATTGGTAAATATGTTTGAAAATCTGCTCGCAAAACAACAATAATTAATTACAGTTTAATGTTTCGTTTTTTATAAAGTTGTTTTTTTCGTAAATATTCGTTATTCTCCATTTTAGATAAATTATGTAAATCTCTTCAATAACACCAATGCCTTCCCATAGAGACGAGCCATTGGTTTTAAATTTTCCTATCTAAGCAGAAATGCAATTGAAGTTACGGGTTAATAAAAACAAAATTTGTTTTTATGACATTATTTGTTAAAATGTTTTTAGTTCGAAGAATAAAAAAACCGAAGAAATGGTGAAGAAAAATTTATTGAGCCAAATTTTGTTAAGCAGTACTGAGCTTTCTACTATGGTTTGCTAATGTTTGTATGTGAAGAGTACAAGGCATCCTTTTTTTCAAAAGAAATATATGCAAGTTCCATTATTTCGTAAGGAAAAAGTCAGACAGTAGGCTGTAAAATATCAGATGTCAAAACTACATGGACACTACCATTCACACACACACACACACGAAATACTTAATAGCAATTTATTTCTTGACCATTTACTTAGAAGGTCCATACTTAGCTTTATACATTTAAATAAGCAAAATAAGCATGGTCGTTAAAATTAAGCTTGGAAACCCTGAATAAGCAATTACAAGCAATTCCAAGCATAAGCTTAAACTCTTCGGCCCTGCTAATTATTAACTAGATTACCAGAAAAATTTAAATCAATTGCGACATGGCTAGGATGTACAACAAAGTTGTTGGAATTTAACTACCTACAGCTACAAATTCTCAAAACTCTTTGACTTTTCATTGGAAATTTTAAGGCAAGGGGCCGCAAACTAAAAGTTTTACGACTAGCAAGTTTCACTGTATTGGCGCTTAGCATCACTTGTTGGTCGCTAAATACAGAAACATAAACTGGCTTCCTTCCATATTAAATGATAAAAATTGCAAAAATGATTAACTGCCAATTAATTTACTGTACAATCATTAATTATACTGTTTAATCTTTCTTTACTTATACCCTTAAATTGTACTTGTGTCTAATTCTCTTTAGCTTGCAGGCTATGTCGTTGATGAGCATTCGTATTTGATTAATTATTGTATGTATTTAAATATATTTCGAAGATGCTGTTATAGTACGTACAGATATGCTGAACTGACTAACGGTTTATACATATATACATATGTACATTCCTTCGGCAGAGCAGTCATATCAGCTTGTGCCTTGTTACCTTGTAAGTAGTATGTGCGTATTTATGTACAATATGTATGACAATTTATTTATATCCTCACCATTTATTCGACTGCTGATTAACTTTGTGATGCTTGGCTTCCATAAGTGACCACTTCATTTATGGTAGATTAATAATAAATTATCCTTAGTTAAGGTTGACATTTTGATTATGTTTGTATAAATATTTTGTGTTAAGAAATTTGATGTTTTGCTTATAAAGCCATTAACGCAGAAGAAAATACGAGTACAAGATAACTCGTGCGATTCTTCCCTTAGCTGGAGGCGTTCGCCTAGCATTTTGTGATAGGACTAAGTAGTAAAGCTTAATTTTAGATGGGAAACTTTAGTGGAAGTCTAACACTGAGGAAGTAGTTAGGAACGCATCACTTTCTGTGGAGTTCTCGTCTAGTGGAATATACCAAAGCAGGCATATATAAAACCGCATTACTATTCGGTATCTTACAGGTCTAACATACGCCCATTACTTTAGCCTGAAATATGCTTGGCGGTAGTCATAATGCACTTTTATGAGAGTTTTAATAGTTTTCTAATCCCTTGGTGGGCAATTTCCTACTGTGAGGAGAAAAAAGCAGATCCAAAGGTAGTTGAGACACGATATTCAGAAAGCGGAAGAGTGGCACTGTAGGTGTGCTAGTGTGCCTTTGTGTTCATTATATTCACATGTCATGCATTCTTCACTTTGTGTATATTCAAACTTGGAAGCATGAGATGGTGCGAGACAGTTTCTCCTTAGGAACCTCAACTAGTGTCTAACAATTCACAGCAGGGCTGTCCGTAATCCAAAAACCTGTGTATGCTTCATACGATAGTCATTAGTCTAAAACCCCAGATAAGTTAAATAACGTTGTTCAAATATAAAATAGTTTTTTTTGTGTTCTTATTTCATGCTTATCATTGGTAGCAAAAACCACGAAGCCTATTCTGCCTTTTCCAAGTTGGATAAGGAAGCAAAGCGAATGGATCTGGTAGTAAACGAGGATAAGACGGCGTATCTCCTGTCATCCGGGAAACAGTAAGCACATTCGCGCCTTTGACGTCACTGTTGACAGTTTTGATGTCCAGAAAATATTCTCTTCAATTGGGAACCGGAATTAACACCGATAATAATGTCAGCATCCAAGAATGATAGAATACAAGATTGCGCCAATCGAGCTGAGAGCAACTGGCCGTGACGTCAAAATATACCAGAATGAGAGAGCAAGACGAACTCGACAAGAAAAAGAGGAAGCATCGAACAAAAGGCAGTATTGCCAAGTTTTGAATGTGAAAAAGCACAAAATGTTTATTGGTGAATTTTATGGCCTTTATATGAATACGTAATATTATTGTATGGATGCCGATTCAAATTAATAAAAATGTTTCTTGCACAACGGAAGATTTCTTCTGGCTTGATTGAAGGTGCTGCCACATATTTCGTTGTCGGTTATGATTGTCACTGTGCCATGATTTAGTTTAAATTTTTGTAAATTTGGCTTCCATTTTTTTAAGATTTTCTAATTTGAAGTCTTCAAACTAAAAACAAAAGCACCAAACACGCACCAAGCACAAAACGCAAAAATGTTCGCGTTTTGAATACCCACTAAATTTGGTGCGAAAAGTATCAAGTTGGCAACAGTGAATGTAAACAAAAGTATATTATGACGTCAGCGATTGGGTGGATGCTGTCAAATCGACGAAGAGAGGGTTAGCGGTCCGCGAATGGCGCGACCTTTATTTTCTGGATCGTGGTCAGCATCGCAATCCAACGCAGAATCACTCTTACCAACAAGTACTACTTTGGACTGAGTAGGTAATTCAGGGGTAAGTATTCTCTCGGTGTACGAAAACTACACTCTATAAGTCACTCATCATGAGCGTGCTGGTATATGGCGCGAAGGTATGGACAATGACAACATCCGATGACGTGGTCTTAGTGCATTCGAGAGAAAGATTTTGCGACACATGGTGTATTATCGAGACAGAGGTGGCACATTCAGCCGTAGCGCTACTTTCTTCTTGGCGAATTTAAGAGAACCAACTCTTTGTGTGACGTCATCATAGAAATTTTCGCGCAAAGTTTGTTCTATCGTGACGTCATCACTCGGAGGAACGCGCAATCTTGTATTCGCTCATTCTTTTTTGCGCAAGATTCACGTACACCTACGTGTTGGCGACGGCGAGTACGGCAGACGATGCAACGATGAGCTGTGCGACGAATTAAACTACAGCAGCCCGGCTGGCTTGGCCATGTCGTTCGATTGGAAAATGGAAATGCTTCAGCCTTAAAGTATCTAACTCAGAGCGCGCTCTACGTCGGAGAGATCAGATGAAGAAGGACTTGACTTCACTAGGAATTTCCATTCGCTTGCACAGAGAAGAAAGGACTGTCCTGCTATAATCCACTTAGTCAAATATCCTAGCAATATGGAAAACTTTGTACGACGCCTGAGGTCCTAGATTTAAGGTATGTAGTTATTTGTAATTTTAATTACATGTAACAAAATATAAGAAACTACTTTTTAAAAGAGAAAAACGGCTGCTGTTTATAATAAATTATCTAACGCAATTTTCGCTGTTGTCTCTTTCTATTTAACAAAACATAAAATTTCACCATCTAAGTGCCAATTTTGGCTGAAGCGCTTGTTCTGTTTTGTTTTTTTGGTTTGTAGTCCACTTCATTTGTCGAAAGAAACTTTTGTAACTTTGCGTCACCAGACGAATTAACTAATCATTTTCGTTTCGCTACATCCTGTGCATAGAAATATTAGTGTGCGAGTTTTCGTTACCTTTCTTTTTGTTCCATTTTGTACAACTATTTAACATTTTTTTGTTTTTTTTTTTGCAAGTGGTGAAGCAAAGCCTCGCAAGAAATCCACCATAACTTCCCAAATGACACAAAATTTACTGCAACGCAGCCTGCCAAATCGTAAATTTAAAACACAGCAGCAGCAGCAGCAGCGGCAGCGGCAGTGACAGCGACAGCGACAGCAGCAGTGCGAGCAACAAAGTTTTTGTGCAACGCAATTGACGATGCGGCAACTGAAAATTTAAACACACGCGCACCTAAGCCTTCAAGTGGACACACTTAGAGTGTTCTTATAACTTCATATACAAGTGTATGCATGCATGCGTGTGTGTATGAGTGTATGCGTGTGTGCACGCTGGAAAATACGAACTGTTTCCCAGTTGCTGCAACTTCAAAGTTGCAAGTTGCCACACTAATGTGTGAAAAACTTTGCCATATAAATCAGTACGTATGCGTTTAGCCTACTTTGAGGCGCAAAAACAATTATTTCATTTGCAGCCAAAAAAAAAAAACAATCCGAACAGCTTGAGTCAGCGCCTACTTTCGAGAGATGCGAATGGGGAATGAATTGGTGTGTGTGTTGTGTAACTTGCTAAATTGCAAGGCTATGTGTTTGCTTAAGCTGCTGCCGGACACCTCTATCGCATTTCAATTAACCATTAAAGGAAGCGTACATATACATACATACATAGGACTTCTTTCGTTAATTTCAGATTCTATCAAATTTATTTGCATGCAACGTGTAAAAGAAGAAGAAGAAGAGCGAGTTATGGTAAAAGAGCTTAAATGAAAAAAGTGAATGACGTTTTTGTTGCATCTGCGCGGGGTCTCATATATTAACACTAGTGACCAGGGCGACCTCTGCTTTACTGGACAAAAGAATTGTGTATGTTTTTTCTTCCTATGGCTTTTGCATTGTTGCTGTGTGGAATTACTGTTGTTTTAGCTGCTGCAACTTGATAAATGCAGCAAATTAAGATAATGGCTTGTTGGCGCCAAAAATATTCGTGACAATGCAGCAATAACAAATGAAAAAATTTTCAAAACGCGTACATGTATCCAAATACAAAATGCTTATAGAAGAATTAACAATGGCATATCCAGCAATTGGCTAAAGGGGATACTAGTTTTTAGCCCCAATTTTAGTTGCAGTTTTGAAAGGTGCACAGTTTAAACTGCGAATCGCCAATAGTCGTATTAAGCAATGGTGGTCTGAGAATGATGTGCGCCATAGCCAAGTATACATAAAAGGCGAATTCATACAAGGTGTTATCGGCAGCACTAAAAAAAAACTACAATAATAAATTATGAAATTAATTATGAATTAATAAAGAAAACCCTAACTCAGGTAGTCGCTGAAATGCAAAGAAGCGCACCTAACTAATTTTTTCTTATTGCTTAAATTGATGTGCATACATTTAATTCGATGAAATGCATCATAATAATTCGAATAGGAAATTATGGATTTTTGCTTAGTTACGGCTTTTTTGATTTCAGCGACGATGTGAGATAGGGTCTTTCAGTACTATAGGTAAGGTTATACTTTATCTTTTTTCTGTTATTCGTGTTATTCTGTTTTCCTTTATACTTGTTTTTATATTTATACTCTATTGTTCTTATAAAAGTAAAGTGATTAAATTTACCTTGGTCTTCATCTTTGTTTTTATCTTTTATATCTTTTTGATGTGATGTGAAGTGATGTGATAGGATGTCGTATGATGTTATATCATGTGATGTTCTGTCGCGTGATGATATAATGTGATGTCATGTCATAAAATGTCAAATCGTGTCGAAGTCTCAATAAAAATATCGATAACAAAAAACCATACAAAATTTAGACAACAAAATCGGCTATTATTTCGATAAAAATATCGACAACAAAATCGATTGTTGTGTCGTTACAAATATCGATAGCCGTGACGATAAATGCGTTCATAAATATCTCTACAATAACGATTAATTTATATCGATAAAAATATCAATAAAAATATCAATAAAACAAACAAACAAAATGTTGAAAATAATGCCGAGTGACTGCAGATCCTACTGATTCAAACATTTTACAGCTAACAATCAACAACCGCTAAAGAAGTTTTACTTCAAAAATGTGCAGGAAACACATCATTTTGACAGTCGGCACATTTCGAATTGAAATCAGCTGCTCCGCTAACACCACCTTGTATGAATTCGCCTTGTATACAGACATAATTGATAGAGCAGGAAATTTTCAATTTCAATTTTTTCAATTATACTCGTAGAAACACTAACATCAGGTATGTATAAAGTAAGAAGCCACTTCAGAAGAACGGACTGACTGCTCCGCGAAATAATGTAATAGTGTAAGGAATAAGGAAATAACCTATTGAAAATAAGCAATAACCATACGCAGAATGCCTTACCCTACCTAAGGTCCGCCTTTGAATAACTACTACATACCTTGAAGCGTACATATGTATGTACGAGTACAGATATTTTACAAACCTCTGATTGCATGCAGATGCCAAAAAAAGGGGCAGCAAGCCAGTGAGCGAACCAGCGCGTATGCGTCACTGACATCGGATGGACACAGACGCAGCCAGCAGCCAGCAGCTCGTCGTCGTCGTCGTTGTTTTCATGCGAGGCCAAAGTGCAGACGATGGTAACTAACTACACTCTTTGCTAAATTTTTGGTATCGCTCCAAATTAGTTAAAAGTTTGTGTTGTCATTTTGTTAATTGTTGGAAAATGGGGCGTGAAAGAGCGCAAAAAACGCTTCTCAAGCTTTACATACATACATATTTGTAACGAAAAATATGTTTTAAGTTATACTCCTATTAGAAATTCAAAATACGTGTACCATCCATTAGTGAAGTTTACTTTTGAAGCTTAGGACCTACGACTTATGCAATTCATACCAGCCGCGTTACGAGACTGTTAAACACTTTAAGCAAGCAGATGCTCCATACGTTAGTTCGAGTGATTGCGCGATATTAATCGGTGCTCCGTCGACTGCTTGATTTAGAACTACTAGCCGAAACTCTAAGGTCCTAAGAAGCGTTAACCAAATTTTTTCCGCAGAAGTGAAAAATATGGATTTAAATCAAGCTTTGAAAGTTTTCGGACAAGGCCGGGAAAGCTTTAGCACCCAAGTGATGAGGTAAGTAAGTAAGTAAGTAAGCAGAACGTCTTGTAATCCCTACGATAGAGACATCTTACGGTCGTCATATTGTCGCACCGTAAAAGAGGAAGTTGAGGAATAAGACGACGATGAAAAAGTAGATGGAGCTGGAGATGAAAATGATGATCAATATAACGATGACGGCGGAGATGGACATGAAGATGACGATAAAGATGAAGTTGGTGATGAATTTGACAATGAAGATGAAGATTATATTGAAGATGAAGATGATGATGAATATGAAGTTGATGATGAAGATGCAAATGGGCATAAACATTAAGTTTCAGATGAAGAAGACGATAAAGGTGGAGACGGAAATGGAGATAAAAATGTATGTTGTTGACCTTACGTCGTCGTCGTCTGCTTACTCGTCTTCACTTTCGTCTCCATGTTCGTTGAAGTTGAAGATGACGGAGAAGGTAAGGATGAAGATGAATATGTATGTTGTGCACCTTATTTATTCTCACCTTTTTAACCGTGTTCGTCTTCGTGTTCTTTTGCGTATCTGAACATGTGGTATGAAATAATGATGTAAAAGTATGTAAAATTTTACCTACTCTCAGACTTCTAAATTTGAACGAATACTTGGTACAAACAGGTGGGATGAATGGCGCAATAAACAGGCGAAGAAATAAAACAGATTTCTCGCTTTCTTTTCTGACATTCAGCTGTCTTATAGTCACATTTTATAGGCATGTTTTCAAATAAGGTAGTGTCAAAATTGTTCTTCTCACTCTAATATTACATTACCTTCCACCATGGGTGAGGTGCATGCAATAATACCATACGCAATAATTCCCATTACTTGGACATTAAAAGCAGTTCATTTTATTATTATTATTTTTTCTAAGCAGTTATAATGACAGCAGTGCATAATTGCAAAAGCAGGGGAGATGGCGGGGGACGCGAGCGCGACGTCGAACGCGGCCCGGCGCGGGGCGGCGCGCGATCGCCCGCCCCCTTCCCCCACCCCAGGTTAAATGCAACAGTAACAACACGCAGTTGGATGCTGAATTTAAACCTATTGGAGTTTACGTAGAAAAGTATTACCTATAGCAAAAATAAAACTCAGATGTCCATTTGTGCTCATTATATATTTTTTCGTTTACTTTTTTTCAACACGCTTATCCATATTAACTTCACCTCCATATAAAAATTTCGAGCTTTTTAATTAGATTTCACAGGAAAATTCTAAGTATGCAGTTTTGTGTATCATTTAATTTAAGTATAATAAAGTGCACGTTTAAAAAAGCTGGGCCTTATGATTGAGTTTTGGATTTTTTTTGTTGATGGTGTTGCTTCATATCATCGAACATACTTCGTATGGAAGAAACTAACTGGCACTGTCAACAAAAAAAAATTCTCAAAAATCAACGGTAAGTCCTAACTACTCCAAACTTGCTCTTTGTGACACGAAATTTACCAGACGCCTTACTGGATCCGCTATGTCGAATTTTGCAATTATGACAGCGGATTCATAATTAGCGACCTCGCAAACCCCCCAGTATGAAATTTCGAATCATTTCTTGTAACCTTAGAATTTTGGCCGCACTTTTCAATCTCGGCCGCACTGTTCGTAAGAGAGAAAAAGTAAAAACGCAACTTTAAATAAAAAAGTAGCCTTAAAAACCATTTATTTATTATGGCTGCGTTTCTTTATTCATTCCAGATCATCCCACTTCACAGCCAGAATAAACAGAATGCGTTTGAAATATGATATGCTATATCATCAGGAACGTTCTAAAAAATAAGTAACCAAAAAACTTTATTCCAAACGTTCAGAATGAATAAAAAAATGCAGCCTATATATTTTATGGTAGGAGAGCTTCTCAAACAATATAGAATAGATGAATATCTAAATACCAAGACTAATACCGGGATCCTGGGATTGTGATAACGACATCCCGAAAATCTCGGGATCGGGAGAACTGAAAATTTCACATCCCTAGTGACTACCTATGTGCACTATTTTGCTTAATCGCTCAATTGTTAAGTTTAAAAGTTGGTCTTATTGTTCAACGAGAAATTAAATAAAGCAAATTTTGTGTTATTTCACATTCATTAA